AAAAATAAAATAAAATAAAATAAATAAATAAATAAATAAATAGATTTAATGAAACGATAATTTTATCTTTGGAAAACAGGTATGAAGATGTGTTGTGTGTCTTTGTGACACACACTGTACTTAATTAGTTCGTCAATATTGCCATAGCAGAAACAGAATTTAAGTCCTCCAAACAACAAATCTGCATGAGGAAGAAATGACAACTTGCATTTTCTCCCGAGTAGTGAACAATAAATGAATGGATATGAGGGCAGATTTTGTCCTCTGTTAATGATATGAAATCTGTTTAATTGTTATAATAAACTTGAAGGTATTTTTTTTTTTACAACACACGCCTAACACAATTGCATAAATTCCGTAACTATTAAATATCTATTTATCAATAGTGCTATAATTTTAAATTTGTTTGTTGTCGCTTCTGTTTTTGATTTTGGGTGATTTATTTCCAGTTACATGGAGTCCTTACTTGTTTCTGGTCTTATTTGTTTCAGAAAATATTATTGGAATCACAGAACATTGTCACCAAAATATGAAGTCAATTTTGACTAACTGTAATCCAAATTTACAAAGCAAGGAAGGATATGCATCTTAATAATATTAATAACAAAAAGAGTACTAACTGTCCTTGTAAATACATAACTGTTAGCAATAGTCCATATTATTTATTCTCTTTGTTATCTTTTCACCTGGAAGTGAGTGATTTAAAGCGTTTCTAAAGTCTTAAATACCAATGTTTTAACTGTGCAGGATGGAAATTCCATCTGCGAGACAGAATGCTTTGTTTGAATTTTCGTCCTTCATGAATTTGACATGAAGCACTTAAACACATAAATAAAATGGAACATTAAAAATCAGTGAAAATTAATACATGCAAATCCATTTATTTTTAAAGATGTATTTTCCTATAAGGGTGAATTAAAAAAAAAATATGACCAAACCCATATTTTTCAACCTGCACTAAAAGTACAGGCAATGGTAATAAATTTCTATGTCTCAGCATATGTCTTTAGATAGTTCTAAATACTACCAAATATCTCATTGATATCTCAATTCACAAAAAAGTTATGCCCAAAAATGTCAGGAGTGCAACACCTTTTTTGTGACATTTTGAAAATTCAATATTTTTTGAAGATCTGTGAATTAAATAATAATGGTTTAAGGTAAAAACAAAAACTTTCCTGATAATATTCAAATAATTGAGCTTTAAATGTAGACTGTAGCAACTTTTGTTTGACCAAATTGTAGTCATGGTTGATGTTGAAAAAATGTTATACCATGTCAGGAGTGCAACAGAAAAAATGTAGTGCTGCCAAAAATACATTGATTTTAAAAATCTGAAAGACAATCAGTTAAAACAAATATTTTCAAAGTGTAAAGCAATATAACTGATATACAATTTAAAAAATTAAAAATGCTATATAAATCACAAGCAGCATTAATGAGCGTCAAGTATCTGTGCATACCCAATAATGTCAGGAGTGCAACATTTGATGTTTTGTTCCCCAGCATGGAAAAACTTTTATCAGTATATGATTCTCTGATTTTTTATTTTGGAAAATAAAGACACAAAGAACATTTTTACCAAATTGATTTATCAATTACAGGGTCTGTCTGTGTTTCAGATCTATATTTATATGGTCAGGAGTGCAACACATTTTTTTCAAAGATTCAAGTTATATTAAGAAAAGACTTCTACTCATGCTAAGAAATATTCTTTAATTAATAATGATCTATTTGAATAATTTAGTACTAAATTATTGACAGTTTTATTATTAAAATCCTTCTCTTTTTCAATTTTATCAATTCAGATGTGTTTTTATCTTTTCTTTGATTTCTTTTAAGAATGTGAAAAATAAACACACTGAAAAATCGGTATAAAGTTCAAATAATTCCACTTCAACTTCACTTAAACAACAGAACAAGTTCTGATGTAATTTTCGTTTCACAATTCTACTTTAAAGACTCCCGTGCTCTTGATCAGGAGTGCAACAAATATGTAAGAATTATTACTGATCAAATATGAATAAATATAAAGAAAAAATTGATGAGTAGAATGTTTCTGGTTGACATCAGTTGCTTACAGTGTTTGTCCTGTGAAGGAAGATATACTATAAAATATATTTTATCTTCTAAATGTATGTTTAGCTAGTTTTTTGACATAAAAACTGTTTTATAATTAACAATGATCTTCATCTTTCTTTACCAAAAAAAATAATTTGAAAAAAAAAATGTATGATACTATTTGATGTTCAAAACATTATGTCTATCAACTAATTACAGACATTTTACAGTCAATTTAGAGAATAGTTTTCATCACTTAACACATATTTTTAAATACAATGTATATATATTACACATTGCAAATAATCATGTTTTGAAGTCTTGAAAAAATGAAAACCTTGCCGTAAATGATAAAAAATATCAAAATGACGAACTGATTCATAGACTAGCTTATAGTTTGTTATAATTTTTAAGAGAATGTTAAATAAAGTCGGATATCAGTTATCAGGCGTGCAACACAATAATGTAACATGGGTCACTTCAAAATCTAGTATTTTTTGTAAGAAAACTTGTATGTCCAAATTCTCTTTTGGCTTAAATTTAAAGAACTTACTTAAATGGACAACAACAACAAAAAAAAAAAAAAAAAAAAAAAAAAAAAAAAAAAAAGAATTTGGGGGAATTTTATTGTTTCGTATATTTCTTTCATATTAAAACTTTTCAAACCAGAATTGAAAAAATAATGTAAAATAACAATCAAAAAAATTTTCCAATAGAAGAGAAGAAACTCAATCAAGGTTAAGATCTAATTATTTATATCCTCCCTGATACCATTTTGAAGCATAAAATAATATAATTTCTTTTGATTATGTATTTTAGAAAGTCTTTTAGGATATAGTGATATTTTCTTTTTTCAAAAAAAGGTTTACTATTTAATGAAAATTCTGAAACTTTTTTTTATCCAATTGTCTATTCTGTTGCAACTTAAGGAATTTTAACTAAAATATGCATGTACAATATGATGATATAAGTGAAAAATATGTTATGGGTAGTTGAATTTTTTCAGAAATTTTCAATTTGGTGTCATTTTTATTAAAAAAAAAAAATCACCCATAATTCATTTACTTTTATTATAAATATATATATATATATATATATATATATATATATATATATATATATATATATATATATATATATATATATATATATATAATTTCAGTTTGATTATGATTAATCAATAATTTACCATCTCCAGTAGATATTTGGATGTTTTGCTGTGTCAGTTTGATTATAATTAATCATTGACTTAATATTTGCAGTAGACATTTGGATATTTTGCCGTCTTGGCTGTCTCCTCTCTCCATCCCTCAATCTTTTTTATTTATTTACGTATGACTTTGCAATGTGATCAACAACTAATTTAAACCTGAAGAAGAGTGAATTAACTAAACTGGCTGTTGAAAAAATCTTTCAGTAGAGAAGAACCGACTTCTCCAAAGTGAAATATTTGTCTTGTAAATATTGTTATCATGTCTTTAAACGTTTAAATAACTTCAATGTATTATTAGGACACAAAAAGGGGACAGACTTCTGCTGAATATGCCAACAAGGAGGGAATTGTTGAAAATGAAAAAGTTTCATTCATACATGTATGTTGACTCGATATATCCGAGAGAACTTGAAATAAAAGATACCATAGAGTCTGACACATCTGTTTCTTTTTTTGGATATTTTGCAAAAAAAAGATGTTAATGGTAACCTAACAACAAAACTGTGTGAAAAACGTAACGGCTTAAACTTTTCTATCGTCAACTTCCCTTATTTATGTTGCAATATACCCTTACCACCTGTATATGGAGTTTATGTCTCCCAATTGATTCGATACCCGAGAGCATGCTCTACTTAAGAAACTTTCTAAAACGAGGCAAGCTAATTACAAACAAGTTGGTGAAACAAGGATATCAACAGTCTCGTTTGAAGTCAACATTTCGCAAGTGTTATGGTCAATACAATTACCTTGTCAGAAAATACAATCTATCATTAAGTCATATGCTGACTGACATTTCTAATGCTAATTGTTAGGCCATTATTTACACACTGAATTTTCTAAGGATTTTTTCCGTTTGCTCGATTATGACGAGGAGTGTGACCGGCAGACAGGGGATGCTTACTCCTCCATGGCACCTGATTCCACGTCTGATGCTTTTAGAGGTCAGTGTTTGCTCTGCTCCAGATTTGTATCGTTTCAATTGACTTTTGAGCTTGGTTACCCTTCGTTCTCTCCATATTTCATTGGTGAAAATAATGAACAGTAATCGATCTCAAAAACCTACAAACAATATAAATTTGTGAACAGGGCATGCAACACGGACGCCTGAAAATTCCAGAGGTGGGATCAGGTGTCTAGGAGGAGTAAGCATCCCCTATCGACCAGTCACATCCGTCCTGGGCCCCATGTATTGATAAGATAGACGGAATTAGTAAAAAAAAAACCCAAAGGTATAACAATTGGTATGAAATATGTCAGTCAAAATACGACCAAATGATAGGTTGTATCTAACAGGGCCATTATAATGATCATAGAATTTACGAAATGCTGACTATATCTAGCTGATATTACCCTACACAATAGACGTATTTTACCACGATCTCAATAATGGACGTCGGAATGCGAATTTTTTAAACTGATATTCAAAGGCTATATAGGGCTGTTTGGACTACGGTGGTAAATTCAAAAACTTGTTTTCTTTGGCCTAACTTCATGGACAGTGCCAGGTAAAGTCACAAAAGCAGAACGAGACTAGTTTACCTTTGGTGTCCATTAAGTTAAAAAGAAGTAAACTGTATGCATGATTACAGTAAGCTTTGTCTGGGGGCAAAGTTGATCATGTATATTAGTAATTCAAGACAAAATGCTTCAATTGCATTTTTTTCTTCATGAATTCGAAATGAAACTATCAAAGTGATTTATTTTTGTTAAAGATAAACAATCTGTATACATATAAAATCATTTAATAATTGCATAGTTATTTACACATGTATTGTGTAATTATGTGAAAACTTGCTGATAATGTTTAAATAATGCTTCATTTTAATACACTAATTCAAGTCCAGCTTGTAAAACGCGGCTGCATTCAATTTGAAAATCTTTTTCTTGTCTTCAAAAGTCATGGAAGAAAGAAGACTTTGCAGCAAATCAAACACTGTTTTATAGTCAGCTTTGGCAAGATTGCACACTGGCCAGTCAGATCCAAACATACATCTATCAACTCCAAAGCAAGCCAGGACATGCTGAAAATACAAATTTCACTAATACTTTACCAGTATATTACGTAATGCTTTATGTAACATTTAGTTCTCAATGAAATAATTTGAATCTTTTAACAACTTTTTAAAAACAAAAGTATAATTACATCAATATATGGTTGGAAATCCCCAGCTTTCCAGCAGTTCCAGTCTGCTTCTGTTACAAGACCAGATCTAAAAAGTATTCAATAACAGAATTACTCACCATGAAATGATGATATCTATATTAAATATATTCCCTTTTATCAAATTTTTCATAAACAAGAGACACAAATTCATGTTTTAACTCGAATAACAGAATTGGGTACGTGAAAAGATAATTTAAAAAAATTGCTGATTGCAACCTCTCTTTAAATACAGATATTATTGTAGTTAAAACAAAATTAGCAAATTAACATGCAACTGAGTGGTACATGTACTTGACTTAAAGTATTAACTTATTAAAAATCAGTACATCAAGACTTTTATTTTGATTTATTACAATTTTCCCAGATAGGCAAAAACAAATGTTTCTCTCTTGCACAGGTGCTTATGACTATCCAAATATAAAGCTACAAAGAATTCTAATAACCTTCCCATACCAATATACAGGTATATCATTACTGATAATATTAGCCTCAAGATTTACCATGAACTTACAGTTTGCAGTAGACATAGAAAATATTCAATGTTTTGTACTTGGATATGGAATTTTTTTCACAAATCGGACAGAATTTTTTTTTTTTATATTTTCAGTTGTGCTTTGCACTGGTGAAAATATCAAAACCCTGTACCACAAGTGAAATAAATTCCATATCCTTCTACAAGACATTAAATTTTCTTTTTATTCCTTTTTTCCCTTTTGCCTCTCTTTTCATAATGCAGTATAAAAGGCTGTGATGTCATACACTGTATCTGAAGAGTTGTAAGACATTATAGCTAAGCGATTGCGAGATTGAAAAATTGTAAACATAGGCTCTACAACAATGTGGAGAAACTTTGCCATTTTTAGTCAGTGTCAGAATGGTTTATTTGCTACCACTATCTTGTAAAAGGGAAAACTTTTTTAATAACACTTTTGCCAGTTGGTGAAGAGAAGGTAAATCTCGAGTTTTGCCACACTTTTGATATTCCTAACAGTGAAAAATATCATTTTTATTACTGTTGAAAATTAAATAAATGTGGATATTTTAGAGCTTGGCTATGATATTAATCATAACTTACAGCTTGAAGTTGACATTTTTTTTTTTAAGATCAGTGATCTTAGCTTGATTATGATTTATCATGACTTACAATTGGCAGTTATCATTTGGATATTTTGCTATCTTAGCCTGAGTATAATTAATCAGTGACTTACAATTTGCATTATACTTTTGGATATTTTGCTAACTCAGCTTGATTATGATTAATCAATGACTTACAATTTGCAGTAGATATTTGGATACTTTGCTATCTCAACTTGGTTATGATTAATCAATGACTTACAATTTGCCATACACATTTGGATATTTTGCTATGTCATCTTGGTTTTGATTAATTGAAAAGTTACATTTTGCAGTAGATATTTGGATATTTTGCTATCTCAACTTGATTATGATTAATCAATGACTTACAATTTGCAGTAGACATTTTGGATATTTTGCTAACTCACCTTGATTATGATTAATTAATGACTTACAATTTGCAGTAGACATTTGGATATTTTGCCATCTTGGTTTGATTATGATTACCGTATATACTCGCTTATAAGTCGGCTTTTTGGGAGTTAAACTTGGTCTAAAACTCTTTATCCGACTTATACGCGAGTTATTAAAAGAATGGTATTTTAGTGGGTCAATCCCTCTAATTTAAGCTTAAAAAATACAACCGACTTATAGGCGGACCGACTTATAGGCGAGTATATACGGTAATCAATGACTTACAATTTGCAGTAGACATTTTGGATATTTTGCTATCCCAGCTTGACTATGATAAATCAACAACTTACAATTTGCAGTAGACATTTGGATATTTTGCTATATCAGCAATCTCCTCTCTCCATCCATCAATCTTTTTGTCCTTTACGTAAGGCTTTGCAATGTGATCAACAACAAATTTTAACCTGAGAAAGTGAATGAACAAAACTGACTTTTATAAGTCATGCCAATCTATTTTTTCTGACATAGTAAAATATTCTTTATATGTACATAGTCATTGTGATGATGACTATAAACCATTGAATAAATCTATGATTTAAAATGAAAAACATAATTCCACCAGAAAGTAGATTGTTTTGAAAAATGGTATTCAATTTTTTATGGTATTTTTTTCTCTCAGAAAAACCACGGGTATATTACCTTGGAAACTTTGATACAACACTGGGTATATATTTCAGAAGAGGAGGCCTGTAACAGAAAATGATTTTGAAACCAATCAAAAATTATGAATTATATTCTTTAAATGAAAGAATGAATAAAATCAGTATACACTACATGTATATTTTAACATTTTAAAAATAATTCTATTTCTAATTGAATAACAATATGAGGGTTGTTCGGAAAGTTTGTAAACTATGCCAATCTTTGATATACTACTTCAAGAAATTTAAAATGAGCACATTATCATATGTAAAAATATTTATTTTTTTAAGTGTGAAGTTTCACTCCATGTGATTTGATAGAATTCATGTTATATAGTTTTAAAATCAACATGTTTTGTACCCACGGAGCAAACTCAACAACAATGTAACGTCAAAAACATACCGACATGAGGTTCTCAAAAATACTATCCCTATACATTTCACAGTATTGCCCAATACCAGTGCACTCATTCAAAATGTTTCTCTACCACCTGAAATCTAATTTGCTAACAATTGTTCCAGTAGCATTATTTTGTTTGTCAATATTATACTTTTTTCACTGCTTAAGTGTGCTTTCACAAGATCAGCATCTGTAAAACGCCAAACTCTTAGCATGACATTACTAACTTTCAATGTTTTTGATAAGATTTTTATAGATAATCTGTTTTCTTAGCAATTACCATCGTCTAAGCAGAGTAGTCTATCATTCAAATACCCCTTATACCATGTACACACACATGCATTGCTCGCTTTTGACATATTTCCTACTTCCTCCGGCATTTTCAGAGTTTTTTTCTGGAGTTTTCTAGAGTACAACACAAAATTGTATGGTTAACTGCTGCTCCGTGACGTTCTACAACATCATCTTTTTTGCCATTTTCAATGAGGACTACCTATCTTCTGAAACTGATTTCTTTTTAACGAAGCAAAATATTAAGTCATAATTTGGAATCAGAAACGATGAAGCAATTCTTAATTTGAACGTGTAGAATTTTTCCGTTTTTGTGTCATTTTACAGAAGATTTGATCTCAGATATTATTTAGTTTCTTGATTGTAAATTACAAAATTTTGACCTGCTCCGTGATCCGATTTTTGCATTTTTTAAGTCTAAATCAGTTTGAAATAAATCAAGATATTTTAAAAAATTTTAATACACATCATTTGAATTTACTGTTGAAATATTTCTTCCAAATTTGGATAAAATATGACGTTACGTAAAAAAGTTATGACGGTAGTCCACGAACTTTCCGAACAACCCTCGTATTAATGTTTTCTGTTTAAAAAACAAGACATATTTGTGAAACATTAGAAATTGTATCTGATTTTTTCTTTACCTCTTTGCCCTTACCTTAAGCAATAAACCTTGATATTTACAAAATATTGACTTCCAAATAGTTCAAAAGCTGTGGTCTTTAACTGTTTTTTACTGTTAGATAGAGATATTAAAAAATAGGCTTATGGGTCACAAAGCTCACCTGCATAACCTTGACCATTTAGTTTATAAAAGTTTATTGTCCATCTTTATACCCAATAAACTTTTGTTAAGTGAGGTATAATAAGCTTAATAAAAAATAAATAAAATTCTACAAATTGAATGTCCTCCCTTTCAAGCAAGTAATTATGAATGTTGAATAAACATAATACCTTAGGAGTAAGTCATAGGGAATTCCCCTCTCTTCTAGCACCTTCAGTCCAGTGTGAACATCTTCTCTTATGATCCAGTCAGGTTTTTCCATATCTAGAATATGGCGAACTCCCTTAAACAAGGCATACTTTTGCATATCATCAAGGACTTCTGGAAGCTAAAAACAGCAAAAGCCCTTCCTGACAATTTTTAACAAGGGTGCTGCAAAGCGGAGCATCCCATCACAAAAGAACATTTTGATTCCGTTATAAATATTACTTGTTACGCACGCACTCACTCACCCACACACACAGTAACAAACATGTTACTACGTCCCCCACAACTTTGTTGCGAGGGATAAAAAGATATTTTAAGAGCCAACTTGCATTCAAAAAATCAAAAAGAAAGCTCATAAGAACCCAAGTTACCAAGTCCTCATTCTTTCAACCTTTTTGAAATTCAATCTTACTCAAATAAAACTTTTTTTTTGATTCCCTGTTTTGGATATATTAAATTTCATTTTAAGTTTTGTTTCATGTCCCCTTTTTTTGAGATAGAAAATGCTTATTTCCAGTCACTTGCCTTATGACTGGTGAGGTTTATTCCAGCTACAACTCCTTTAATGAATGGATACTTCGCCGCTTGGCTTATAACCCATTCTGAAATGTTAAAAAAAATCAATTCTATCCACAATTTGGATAAACAGAAGTGTAAAAGATTATCGGTTATTCGAAATCCAGTGGCTATATTTGAAAATCCTGTCCTCAGCAGATGGTCCCTTCAATTTGCTTAACATTGTTTCTATCTTTGGTTTTATTCAAAGTTACATATCACAGCTAATTGTGCCACGTAAGTGTAAGGTATGGTAGCACATACCATATGTTACACATATGTGAAACATACGTAACACGTGTATTCCAACCGCACGTTTCACGTACGTGGTACAACGTATGGATAACATGCGTGTGACAACATACGTTTCACATAACGTACGTGAAACATGCGGTTGGAATACATGTATGTGTTACGTATGTTTAACGTACGTGGTGCTTTTTTCATGTGATACGTACGTGAAGTCACATATGTATCACATACGTTTAACGTATGTGATACGTACGTGGCACATTTTGCTGTGTATAAGTCAAATATATAGAATATGGGAAGACTGAAAGTGATATATCCTCATTAGATCTTATCCAAAATTATAAACTAAATCTTTTAATTTAAAAGGTACTATTATAGCTATTGCAAAAGAAATTACATAAAATTACAAGTGGGAAGCTGTAAACATTTTTTTTCCCCCACAGATTATAATTTTGGGGAATCACAATTTCAGTTTGATCCACAGGTAAAAATTATGCTGATTTCTTGGATTGTCATTAATTAAGTATACTTTTTGACAATTAAATTTTTGAGGAAAATTTATAATTCCATACATAGGGTAAATTAATCCCACATGTTAGAATGTATGTCAACAGTATATTTTCATATGTTCAAAGGAATATTCTGAAGAAAACACAAGCAATAATTTTTCTTCTTCAGTTTCTATCAGGATCAGTGGTATATATCCTTTACTGTGACTATGTTACATTAAATGTATTACTTGCTTCGTCTGGAGTCCCATTCAAACACTGGACAAACACAGCATGTCTGACCGGAGTCTTTGTCAGGTTTGTTTCCAAGTCATGGGGTGAAAAATTTTGGAATATTGCTTCTTCTGCTGAAGTTGGCCAAGGATACTGGAATTTCTTCAAATCCCATATGTCTGAAATGAAAGTTTATGAGAGTAAATAATATTAAGAATATTGAAAAAATATAGATAATTATATATGGTGACTTAAATCAGGCAATAATTCCTATCTAATCCTGAACAGGAAAGAAATCACATGCACTTGTTATGTATAAAAAGAAAGGCATGGTCAAAATATGAAGAAAATGGCTGTGAAAGAAATGATACATGTATGACTTGTATTTGTGAAGTCTTCCTTTCTTTGTCCTTTTTTTACTGCTAGTATGGGATGAGTTACAGTAAAAGTACAGAAATTAACACACTCAAAATTTAGCGTCCTTATCAACTTCCTTATCAACTGTTTAGTATAAATAATTAAAATTTCTACCACATTTTGGAGTCTATCTTGTATATATATTTGCTAAAATCATTCATTATTTATACTTGAATTCTTTGACAAGACCATCTGTGAAAGGTGCTAAAATATTACAACTACATAAATTAAGTGCATTTATAGTATACAAATAATTATACATGTATTTTTTAATACACATTATTCAAATATAACAGCTAGGAAGGCAAAAAAAAAATCACTGGACCAGACCATGCCCCCATAATACTTAAATTACTTAACTTAATGGAACTCTTTTACAGTGGAGGTAGGAGTTTTTTGTTGGGCCATAATAAAATAAATCCTAGATTTTCATCCCCGTCCATCCCAATTTTGTTTACCAATATATTAATGCTTCTTTTTTTTTTTAATTTCTTTTTTTTCTTCATCTTGTCTCTGATGGGATTGGTATTCATCTTACCATTCAACTTTTGTTTTAAATTTTAAATCACACGAATGTCAGCATGAGTTTGACAGCTGACAAGATGGTAATTGCTACAATATGTATTGATAAGGATCATTGACTGTGAAAGACTGGTGAGGATGTGTAGAAACAGATATAATTATTTAGATGGACCTCTAGTTAACTTATATTTTGGCATAATATATAAATCTGCACCAATTGACCAGGTCAACAAAAAATCTGTACAATGGAAGAAATAAAAAAAATATAAAATAAAATCTGCCTGCCTGCCTCTATTAATATTAAAAAATGTTGAATGAGAATCTAGGAATTTATTTATTATGGCCTTAGCTGGAGACAATGTGCTGTTAAATACACTGAAAGATTTGATCCTGTAGATTTTTAGCTCACCTGAGCTGAAAGCTCAAGTGAGCTTTTCTGATCACATTTTGTCTGTAGTCCGTCTGTCTGTCTGTCCGTCCGTCTGTAAACTTTTCACATTTTCGACTTCTTCTCCAGAACCACTGGGCCAATTTCAACCAAACTTGCCACAAAGCATCCTTGGGTGAAGGGGGTTCAAGTTTGTTCAAATGAAGGGCCATGCCCTCTTCTAAGGGGAGATAATTAAGAATTAATGAAAATTTTGTGTCATCTTTTAAAAATCTTCTTCTCAAGAACCATTGAGCCAGAAAAGTTGAAACTTACGTGAAACCTTCATTACATAGTGTAGATTCAAGTTTGTTCAAATCATGACCCCCGGGGGTAGGGTGGGGCCACAATGGGGGATCAAATTTTTACATAGGAATATATAGGGAAAATCTTTAAAAATCTTCTTCTCAAGAACAACAAAGCCACAATTAGTCATATTGATATGGAATCATCCTCAGGTAGTGTAGATTCAAGTTTGTTCAAATTATTACCTCAGGGGTAGGATGGGGCCACAATGGGGGATCAAACTTTTACATAGGAATATATAGGGAAAATCTTTAAAAATCTTCTTCTCAAGAACAACAAAGCCACAATTAGTCATATTGATATGGAATCATCTTCAAGTAGTGCAGATTCAAATTTATTCAGATCATGACCCCCGGGGGTAGGGTTGGGCTACAATGGGGGATCAAATTTTTACATAGGAATATATAGGAAAATTCTTTAAAAATCTTCTTTTTCAAGAACAACAAAGCCACAATTAGTCATATTGATATGGAATCATCCCCAAATATTGTAGATTCAAGCTTGTTCAAGGCATCCTCCAGTAGTAGGGTGGGGCCATAATGGGGGATCAAAGTTTTACAAAAGAACATATACAGGAAATATCTTTAAAAATCTTCTTCATTCTCAAGAACAACAAAGCCATGATCAGTCATATTGATATGGAAGCCTCCTCAGGTAGTGTACATTCAAGTTTGTTCAAATCATGACCCCCCCCCCCCCCCCAGGTAGGGTGTTAGACATATTTAAAATGTTTTAAAGAACAGTAAAATCATGATTAGTTATATGAAGATAGAAGCATCCTCAGAAGGTTTATATTCAATTTCATTCAAAACATGGCACCTCGGTGTAGAGTATGCCTAGAACAGGCGATCAAAGCTTTATATATGAATATATAGGAGAAATATAGGAGAAGAAATCTGCTGATGAAAAACAGCAGGGTCATATTGACTCAGGTGAGCGGTGTGGCCCATGGGCCTCTTGTTTTTTAAGGACACATGAAGGAAGCAGTCCTGGTGAAATTGCTGAACATTCAGTGAACCACCAGGTTTATAAAACTTATGAGGAGCTAGTCCTCTTGTGTTGCATTTTTGTTGATACTTTCTCCTAAGCTAACTCTTCATATCTAATTCATTCCTTTTTTTGTGATAATTGTTACTTTTGAAAGTTGATTGTCACACTAGCATAAAAAATGTTATGTCCCTGAAACCTTGCAAGATTCAGAACTTCCTTAACTTGTCCACAAACAATAGGCTATACGTAAGATAACTGAGGTTAGTACGATACTAAGCATTCTAGATGGGTGCTCTACCATCTGCACCATAAATCTGCCCACTGGTGAATGAACCTATCTTACTGCCCCATTCTCTCTCCTTAATGAGGCCCAAGCTAGCTGGAAATGTAGAATATGGGCCCAAGATTTTTTTTTTTGAATTTTATATATATATTAGAATATACCATGCTTAGAAAAATTAAAATCAAAATTAACTACCTAATGCCTTTATTGTAGTGAAATGGGGGCCATTTCAAAATATGGACCTTTTTCATGGATTTTAATACAATATATATTTATATACCAAACCACCTAATATACACAGGAATGCACATTTGAAAAAAAAAGACTGCCCCAAAAAAGTTTTGCTTTTCACATATTCTATAGATTAGTCATCCCTCATTTAAAAGATGAAAAGAAAATTGGGGATATCCCACATATCAAAACACAAAAATATGACTACAAATTTATCTGAAGTATTTCCAAATCGCACTTATATAAATAAATAAATATAAAAAAATTCTGTCTCATGAGTGTACTGAAATAAATTCCATATTCATATTGAGATCAGGCTGTGACATCATAGTTGAGCGGTTGAGACTTCATAGCTAAGCAATTGAGAGATTGAAAATCATTGTAAACATGGACTTTTAATAACATATTTAGAGAAACTTTGGCAGTTTTAGTCTCTGTCAGAATGGTCCATTTACTCATTCCATCTTAAAACAGGCCAGGGAGATTTTTTTAAAAACACTCTGCATGAAGGGAAGGAAAATCTCGAGTTTTGCTGCACTTCTGATATTCTCTCACACTGTGAGAATACCATTTTGATATCCTTTCACACTGTGTCAGAATATCACTTTTATTCAATAAATAAATTACAGTATTTCACTGTTGAAAATGTAATAAATCACCAAATGTAACAGAAAGGCTTGACTTGAACTTGGGTCTCTTAAGTACTAGCTGCAGAACTGTAGCGTTGTGGTTTTATATATTAGTCTTTGACCAGACAAAACCATAACTCTACAGTTCTGCAGCTACTTAAAGACCCAATTTTTTTACCGTACGGTTACCTGAGGAGGGGAGTGGTCTTGGTAGTACTGGTGTTATTTACCTGGAGAGCCCCAATACTCAAGATGTCAAAAATCCCTATACACGCTGCATTACACAGGAAGACCGGCTTTTGGTAACCAGGGTCAACATTACGCGTTTTGTGCACAATTTTGAGTGAAAATATTTAAAATAAATTATGCACTGAAATATAAAATTTGTAGACTTAGCGTTTTCGTCGATATCTTTTGAAGAAAAAAAATTAAAAAGACATCTTTTTTTAAAAATCGTAAAATAAAAAAAAAAACGGGTGAAAACTACAAAGCAATCATATCAATATTTTAATCGACAATAAAAGAAATTATTAAAAAATATTATGTGTGAATATTGAAATAAAAAGATTTCACTTATTGTGTGGACATTTACAACGATCGGAATATTATTTACTTTTCTGGCGAACGATGGTGTCCAAATATTCGCCATTTCCAAGGGTCCGTGTTCTCATGCCCTGTTTACAGATTTGGATATAAAAAGAATCTTTCGTAATTCATGGCTTTAGATACAAGATACTTTATTTATATTAGTATAAATATCTTTTCTTTTTTCATCCATTGTATTTTGTTATAATTTTCAATGGTGGGGGAGGGGGTCGATTGTTTCCAATTACGGCGAATTGAATTTCTGTGTACCCAAGTGCAAGGTCGACAAGGGCATTACGTACATTCTTAAAATCAAGGCACATGTTGAATAAGGGGCTCGGAAGAATTATCGGTCTGTGCTGCTACAGAAACTTTTCTCTCTGGATCTCAGTTATTGAAGGAAGAGAGGGCTTGAATATCCACTAATTTTTTTTTTCGAAAAGTTCAACAATTATCTTGGACGCCATATCGCTAACAAATACAAAACAGCAGTGGATATTGGAAAAAAAAATCACGAAGTCACTGTTTAATTATCTACTCACAATTATTTTTTAAAAATAAAATTATCAACCAATATTATAATAACAGCGACATGATATTTTTGTAACAATAGTGTATATACAAAGCGACCATTCACGCGGTACATGAAAGCGTGTGACTTGTGACCAGGTAATTGTTTTCAAAACATGCAAACTCAGATGATCAGGTAGCCCATGTAGCTGGCCCGTCAATCAAATCTGAAGCTATTGTTTTTTTAATGATTGACAGGCGGTATATTATTGATCTTGAATTAGGTGGATTTTGGGGGCGTTAACATAAAATTGGGTGTTTAAGTACTAGATAGAATGTTCTATCATGAAAATGATATTGTCCTACGGACCTGGTAAGGGCTTGTCCTGAGACACAGATTATTCACAGGAGTTGGCAATTTTATCCATAAAGTCAATAGAAATCACTTGATTGACCAAATCAAGAGCTATGCATTAGCATAGTAAACTGTCTGCTGTTTTAAACTGTTTGCTGTTCGCTATGCTAACGCATAGCTCATGGCTTGGTCAATCGAGTGATTTCTATTGACTTTATTGATAAAATTGCCAACTCCTGTGGATTATTCTAACTACTTAAGCAGTTAAGTACAGACACTGAGATAGTGTAAACCTATAGGGTTTGAGACAATTATTTTAATCAGAAAATAAACATACTAAACCATTTACAATGTACTTAGGATAGAGTGCATTGACCTATAATCCAATCGGGATATGAAAGTGTAAGACTTTTCCGTAAAAATAAACAAACCTGGTAATCGGATTAAGGACAATGTAAGCTACCAGGATGTTTATCTATCTTGGGACGACGATGCAGGAACAGTAACGGAACATTGCTAAAAATTATCTTAACATTATATTAACTTTTGCACAATACTAGGACGTTGGACTGAAGCTTATTAAAGTTTATGTTTCAATTACAATTTATTTTACAAAATTCCAGGATTTTGTACAAATTTATTGAATAACTTGTTTACTTGAATATGATTTGTCTATTTCATACGTAAATGAGTATTATGTATTGTACATTATAAAATACGATCTACGGCGCTCTTCGGGAGAGCCACTATACGGTCAGCTTTACGGTAACGGGACGTTTCGCCCCTATTGATGTTTCGCGCCGAGACCATTCGCCCCAAAAGACCTTTCGCGCTTAGACGTTTCGCGCCAAATTTAATCTACATTGTCTATAACGATATATTACGATGTTTTAAGATAAATATTTTTATATATGGTTAATACTGACTTTATTAAAATAAGATTATAATTAATGCCATGATTACATCTGGTAAAATATGATAAAGGTTAGAGTGAGTAACCCAAAAGTTACAATTAAAGTGCAAAAAGGTCAAGTTCATTTTACCTTTGCTCAACGGGATGCACACTAACTCCAATTTTCTTTGTGGTTTTGAGTATTGCTGTATAAGTAGTTATCAAAAATATACTTCTCCAAAAAATCTTTAATATAACTAATTTCACAAGTGACATACCTTAATTTGTTTCTATGTCTGTTATACCAAAATAGATCATTTTTTTAAATTCATCATGTCATTAAAATAATCACGAGTTGCTGTTGTCTCACGTCATATAAAAATATCAGGTCATTTAGAAATAACTTTTTTTAAGTAACAGGAATTCCTAGAAAAAAAATCAGGTCTGACAATTTTTTCTCATTTTTTATTCTCTACAACTGTATTTTGGTAAGCATCATCTATTATCAATATTTCCCCCATACAGGCAAAATTATCTCAATCAGGTCTTCAGTATGTCAAGTCTTTAGTATGTCAAGTCTTTAGTATATCCCATATGAATTGGTTTTATTGATTGAACCAATGGATTGGATTAAAATAACACAGTGCAAAAATTATTCAGAATTTAATAATTGCTGTTGACAAGTGATAATTGCCACATAATTAATTTAATTGATCTTCGGCGCGAACCGTCTTGGGGCGAAACGTCTCAGCGCGAATGGTCTTTTGGGGCGAACCGTCCCGCATTCAGCTTTACGACTCACAACTTTCAGTTAATAAACTCTTTGCAAACATTTGGTTTCATTGGCTTACAATAGGACAAAAATTCATATAAAGAGTACATGGATATTAAATAAATGACACTGTTTATAAATAGTGACAAATGCTGATACATTCAGGCGCAGCATTGGAAGTCCACTCGTCAAATTCGAAATAGTCCAAATTAATTGTGATTTGAGTGTTGATATTTAGTTTGCATCAAATATCTTATCTACTCTGAAAATCTTACTTACGGAAATGGGAATCCACACAGTCTATTTCATTTATATCAGACATTTCTCTCCATGTGTTTATCTTAAAACCAGATAAGACGAACTTATCAGTGAGTTTTCATCTTATTGCCTGACGCCACGTGCGTCAGGCAGAATAAGGATTAATTTTTCCTAGATCCGAAACTAAACTAGATTTTCTGGAAGCTGATTTACACTGTATTTTGTTACCTGCATTTAAACAAATACAGTTTGCAGAAGAAAGAATCATATTACTGATGCAAAATAATAATGTGTTTTATTCCTTCAGTTTTTTGGATGCACATGTTTATTATTTGCGTTTCTTTGTACGGGCATGTCCGTGTAACATTTTTTCTGCGTTTCTAAACTACTGGATTAGTCCATTTGCCTTTCTACGAAAGGGGTGACACAATCATTTCGCGCCAAATGTCACCTGTAAATGATCTTCGCGCCTTTTTCTTGGATTGTTCTATTGAGTGGGTGTGATAACTTCTATGGAAATAACGTTTATTCTTTTAACCTGATTCTTAAGCTTCAGATTTTTTATTAACAGTAAATTTTATCTCATTTTTAAAAGAACACATTGCATATGGGCAGGCAACACTAAAGTAATTTGCTGATTATTCTTACTATTTATCCCATAAGCAGCTGATAAGTGAACTACTCCAATCAAATGGGGCATCCCTTCTTGATTCAGTCTATATTCCACCTTTTCTTTCAATATTACATTTATTAATAATGTACGTCACAAGGTTAGGTTTTTTAAAAAGCTTAGAAAGTACTACCAGTAGCATATCATTTCATGCTTTGTGATGAACAAGGATAGTGAGTGACAAGAGTGTAGGTCAGTACCCATAGAGGAATGGGCTAAACTCCCGTAAGGTTCTAAGCAAAGAATCGGCAAAATGAAGAAGACATCATGATCTCTTCAACTTTTCATTTCATATAAAAGCACATTATTATAATTCTGAGAAAGGTCCTGAAATCGATTAAAAAGAAAAACTAAACAATTTTAAAACTGTACATAAAGATGTATTTTAAACTCATTTATAATACATGTATATATGTATATGGTATGACCATCAGCGCGTGAGTTTCATCCGGTGGGGGTGGGGGTGGGGTGTTATTTGTATCTTGTTTTGCTCTAGCTATAATGTGTACAGCCCATTTACTTTGAATTCTAGAGCAGCATTGAAGCATTTTTGTCTCAAACACTTCAAGACAAGGCAGTTAAAACTGTTCATAATTTACTTCGTCGTCGAGAACGACGGAAAACAGACCAGTCTATAAAGAGAGACCGTCTCATCAATCTATCACTGACCAGAGAGTGTGCATGAAGAAGCGCGCCCTCTAGTAAGAGAGTACTATTCTCTATTGAGAAGTTGATGGCTCGTTTTAATACTCCCCCTCTTGAGGGGGAGTATTAAAACGAGCCGTCAACTTCTCAATAGAGAATAAAGAGAGTACATGTAATATGAATTTCTTTAAAACGAATCATCTAACTATTTTCCCCAAAATTATAATCTACTCTAGCGCACATAGAGTTTCATCCCTACGTAACTTGTCAGCCCGTGGGCTAACTGATAAATGATTACATAGTGGCATGTCTTAGATATTCGTTAATCTGTAGTATTTGGTTATGAGATTTTCAAGAGAAAGTCAATTGTACATCTTGTGTAATGAAGTATCGCAACTATGTCGCTCCCTGCTGACGGACCTCTAGCACCTCTCTTGCTTATACGTTGCATAGATTTTGATTTATTGGTCAGACTAGCTTTTTGAAAAGCTCTTACTTGTCATGTGACAAGACACATTTTGTTTACATCGGAAATACATAACGAACGCTAACATATAATCTGGAGACGGATCGAATGAAGGGGTTCCGCATTCTCATTCTATCGGTCTATCTGGGACATCCCATAGAAAAATATCCTGAAAATTATTCTATTCTGATGATTTGATATTATAAAATGAGAATTGTAGTTAATTAACCTATACTGCATTAAATGATTACACAGCGTAAAAAATCCGGAATTATAATGTTACTAGTTTCAAGTTTTATACAAAATCGCGGGAAATGTTTTTAATAACATACGCATGCGCATTTACTTAGCTTCATGTTGTCAAGTATGGAGAACTTCAAGGTACTCGCATTATGTTTACATATTAGAAATGAATATATGGTGTTGTTTTATGAACATGGCTCAATAATTTTTGTTTTATCTAGATTTTGGAACAGCTTGGCAAAGGTGTCCAGTTCACTATTCTTAAGGTGGAGAGTAAAATAGATGGAAAAACCTATGTCATCAAAAAGGTATCACTGGTTCTGTGGTTGTAGATTAAATATTTTCAAGTTCCATCCGTTTATAAAGGTATGAAAGCCTCTGTGGAGTGGCAACATTGCTCAGTCATTTTAGTCAGAACACTTGATTTTTTAGTTTTAAAAAAAGGAGTGCTGTACTTTTATGCTCTAAAAATAAACATGGTGCATACCGTGCATTTTTTACACTGGTATACATCATGTATAGTGCACGTGGCTATGTTAATGTAATAACATAAAATGTGGGGAAATTAAGTTATGCTCTAATGATTCTTTTGAGAAAAAAAATGTTTCTATCAGTTTCAATGACGTGGATTTGCACAATATTGCTATTCTATTCTACTGCTTACTAATACACCAACCCATCTTTGTATAAATGATATTTAGTTTTGATTAATATCACTTGATGTCATGAAATATGTGTATACCATTGCTACTTACCTAAATGCACTGTAGCTTGATTTGTAAAAAGAAATCTTAAATAAATGATGTTAATTGTTTTAGATTTTATAAATAATTCTTTGACAGGTTGAATGCCATGATGAAAGTCAAGCAAATTTAGCCTTTCGGGAGGTAAAACTAAGTTAATTACTGAGTGCACCATCGGTTATATATTTTAATGAATGATGTAAATAAGAACAATTTTTCTTAAAGGCAACACAGTTAACTTTAATATCATTTGCCTTTTTGATTAAAAAAAAGGACATATTAATTTTATCATGTTAGCTTATAATTGTTTTAGATACATTGTACACATATATTCTTAATTGAATTCATTATTTGAATGAAATAATTTTTTCATTTATTATATCACACAATATATTCCATATAGATATTTCATTTATGAAATTAATTATATTACAGGCTGTAGCATTGCAAGCTTTGGATCACCCTTATATATCTGGTTACAAAGAATTCTTTGTAACATGGGAAAAAGAGGTATAATGAAAAGTTTTGCCATCTTTTTTTTTTTGTCTGCAAAATAAAAAAACCCCAAACTTTAACATTCCAACATTATCCTTTATTCAGTGAATTTAATTGAGAGTCAATTACGTACATTTGGGATGGTGCTGTTATTCTCCTTTGTTGATTTACAGTCTCCTGTAACAGATATTTCTACTTTTAGGATTCTTCTATGTATATGATCATTGTCATGGATTATTTCCCAAAAGGACATCTTGGAAATGTGGTTCAGAGAGCAAGAGAAAATAAGGAGGCCATTCCAGAAGAGGTTACATATATAGTTGTTATATATTGCAAATTACATGAAATAAACTTTATTTTAATCTCAAGTATCTTTGTATTTTCAGTAGAGTTTATTTTCATGTTTTTAAATGAGAGCTTGTGAAATTTAGATGAAAGTAAAGATTTATACATATCTGTTAGTATTATAATAAAAAACATATTTCAGACTGTGAAAAAATACATTGGACAACTAATGGAAGCCCTGGTATATGTTCATAGTAAAAACATACTACACAGGTAATTGTCTTTTTTTTTTACTGACATACTCAAAATAAGTTGATTTCAATGCTTTCTTCAAATGTATACAGCTAGGAGAAGGGGAAAAAGATTCTTTTACAAATAATTTATAAGGGACACAAATGTGGATACCCTATATGTTAATTATCATCATGTTTGTCTGTCCATATTGAAACTAATTATTAGGAAGTAGGTATTTTTTTTGTTAAAAGAAAATAAGTAATGTCAGTTGCCTGTGACTTGGTACTAAGTATTTACAAGAGGACGGATGGAGGAAGGCACCATTAATTTTAACCTTCAAACTTATTATTTCTTACATAGGTGGAGAGACAAATAAGCTTTTTTGGGGTCACCTGGTAAAAGGTTAAGGATAAGATTATTGATGACTGGCATTTGTGATGCAATTACTTCATACATCTTGTTTACCACATTTGAGACTGTTTCTATCAGAAAGATGCATATAGATTATGAAGGCTCTTTGTCAGAGATCAAGGTCAAACTTCAAGATTTGTGATCCATTGACTTGAATAATTGTTTTAAAGTACAATCTTCATATTCAGTACAAAATAAAAAAAAAATACGTCTAAATTTTAAAGCCACTTGCTCATATGTGGTGAAAAGGTCAAATTTATTGATATAAATCTACTTTGGGGCTCTTCATGACTTTGCTAGTACTCTTTTTTTTATTTAAGGCCATATATTTCATGTGGGTACCCATGAAAAATAAAGACACTTTTTTGAAAAGTTAAAAGTAATTGTTTAAAAATAATTCCAATTAGGAAAAGAAACTAGACTGTTAGTTGAGTTTTTTAATTCATCATGGATCATTTCATATCTTTTCTTTCAGGGATTTGAGAGTGACTAACGTGTTCCTAGTGGAGGAGCCATTACTCCAGGAAGACATTTTAATACTGGCAGATTTTGCTGTGGCGTCCGTCATGTGTGACACCAGGACCTGCACAAGAAGAACCAGCAGTATGATACCTATCTGTATTACTAATAATCAATTAATGTCCTGTCAGGTTTAGAAAAAAATTAAAGAACTATTAAAGGATGATAGAAAAGAATGATACAAGATTGCAGAGATCTTTTATTTTTGCATGAGAAATCCTAGTTATCCAATTTGACACAATACTTGCTAGTACAGTAAAGCTTTGTTTTGAAGTTTTGATTCCCAATGCATCAAGTTGATTTCATGTAAAAATATTGCAGAATAACATTGTTTCAGTGAATCACCATGGACAACTAAAATCAAAGTTGCATCTCTATGTGCATAATTTTGTATGGCCTATTAATATTTCATTATTTTGTGTGGGTAAAAAAAAGTGATCTCATAATGGGCATCAATTTACCCATGCATACGAGTGTTTGCTGAACATGATTTACTTATTTAGCAAAGTTAATATTGATAGCTTTTATCTTGTCTTTCCAATATTGAAAGATTATAGGGAAGTGACACTCTAACAGCCTGATGACATAATAGAGATGACTCTCTTTTGTAGAGCTGACAAATTATCTGGCCCCTGAGCTGACAGAAAAAGGGGCAGACTTCAGTGAATCCACAGACGTGTGGTCTCTGGGTTGTATCTTATTTGAATTAACGACAGCTTCCTTTCTGAGTGAAGCAGAGGCGGTAACCAGACTGGGGGAAGTCAGGGAGGACCCATATAAACTGGAGGAAATATTTGAAGATGTTGCTAAGGTACCATGGTTTTTGTTTATTTCTTTTAACCAGTAAATATCTCTAGCATTTAGAATATTTGAAAAAGAGGGACAAATGTACTTTTTAAAAAAATTCAGATACACAAAAGATGGTGGGGTTGAGGTAGTTTTCTTTTACATATTACAAAAAATAATAATAAGTAAAAAGGCTTAAGCTTAAATTTAAAAAGCCTAAATTTATATAAAATATACCAGTAGCATAGTGCCTTTATTCTAAAACAAATACTAGCTTAATATGCATAGAAATATAAAAAAACAAAGTTATGTATGAAGCCAATTCTTTGATACATCACTTGACAGGTTCAGCTGCATTTTTTGTGTTTACTAATACAGTTGAACTTCTTATTTTGAATGTCAGTATCTCAGATACCATGGATTTGACAATGTGAGTTGGAAGTCCCAACTGAAACACATTTTCTTTACATATTTTAACCTCATTATCCCAAACCCCTGGATATCTCAAAGTTTTATCAAATTGATCCAATCGAGTTCAAGATAACAATTTTTGACTGCATACTTAAATATTTTTACATCAGTATTATGCCAGTATTATGAATAAATGTAATTGGAAAATTTTCAATTTCAGACTTTTTCTGGAGATTTAATCAATCTAATTCGAGTTTTGCTGAAGAGAAATAACAGACCCACTGCAAAGTAAGGATATTGTACTAAGAATACATACCCATACATAGTCTGAGGGTGAATCTTTTCAATATTAAGCTCACTCCGATAAAGCATGCCATATCCCAAGTAAATATAAGCCTTACTTGGACCAATTAAACTTGTTTGGATGGTGCATCTAGCATTACCTGCTTATTAGGTTGTTGGAGCAAGTCCATTGATAAGTAACAAAAAGTTCTACCAGGGAATAACTTGCATAGATGATTCTTCTATGGATCTCTGATGCATATTACTGCAGTCTTGTTTTATATGCCATAACATGCATATTGAACAAAACTCCATATTTGTAAAAAAGTCAGACTATACATTATTGAACATTCGTTAAATTTGAGACAATGCCTCACTTATATATTAAGTTTGTTGAGCTTTGCAATACCAATTACTTGTGTTTCAAATTCTCATAGCTAACAGAAAAAAAAAATCTTCTTCACATGAATATGATACGTTCTTGTAAATTTATTGTAATACCAAAGGGGTTTTAATTATCAGAGACCTTATGGAGAAAAATGTATATGTCAAGAGCTGTATTGAGAAAAGTGATGCTTCTCAGTTAGAGAAAAGGAAAAGACAAAAATCAGGGAAAAGAGTGAAAGGTAAACCTCAAATTACTTCTGAGACAAAAATTGTCCTGTATAATATTGTCAAGACGAATAAATGCAAAATTCCTTTGCTTTATATGGCTGTGTTTAAAAAGTGTTTATGAATTTTTTTGAATGTCGTATTGAAGGTCCAGTACCAAAAGAAGGAAATATATTAAAAGTATTGGAATACATTGCTACAATGGTGGATTTTGAAGACTGTGTTGCAGAGGCTTTAGAATACATAGTGGAGCTTTCTAAACAAGATGAAAACTTCCAGATGGATGTCAATGGGAAGAGGATGATCAAAGCAGCCATGAGGAACAATCTTCCAGTCAAAGAAATCCAGATAGCTGGATGCAATTTGTTCAACTCTCTTGTTATATCAGGTAAATATAAGATTTTAAATAATGCAATGTACAACTAAAACTTGTATTGTTTTCTCCTATAGGAGTCAAGCCAAACCTCATTTCTTTCCTTTATTTTTTCATTTTTCAGCTGACAAAGATGATGTCTTATTTACATCGGAAATAATATCTGTTATTCCCTTGGCCATGGAGGTTGGTGTCTTATTAATTTTTTTCATCAGAACTACTGGCTGATATCTGGTAGAATTCATTCTTAGATTATTTTAACTTAGATGTTATATTCATAAAAAATATTACACATTTAATATTAGTACATATTGCATATCAAAGTAAGGAGCAAAGATAAATTTTTAGGTCACCTGAGTCACTCAGGTGACTTATTGCTATCTGTTTTCATCATTGTTGTTGGGTGTGCATCAGCATTTGAACATTTTCAGCTTCTTCTCTGAAACTGTTGTACCAATTTTAACCAATTTTGGCATAAGGCATCTATGGGTAAAGGGGAACAAAAACTATATTTCATGGTCCTTGCCCCCCTGGGGTCTGAAACAATAAAAATTAGTGCTATCTTTAAAAATCTTCTTTATTCCTGGACATCAAGCAGTCAAACTTTTGGCATGATTGTAATAAGCATTGAGCCCTCTACCAAATTGTCAAATTCTCAATAGATCATATAGGGAAAATGCATAAATTCTTCAAAAATCTTCTCTCACCTGTATATTAAGCAGACACACTAAGTGCATAGAAAGGATTAACAAAAGCAGTCTCCTCCAAAATTGTGAAATTCTTTGCCCCAGGTTCAGAGGTTTTGGTGTTAGGGTTGGCTCTATTAATCATATAGTGAAAATGCATATATTGTTTGAAAATTTTCTTCTCTTCTCTTAGGTATTAGACAGACAAACTAAGTGATGAGCAAGGATACCTCTTGCAAAATTATGAATTCACTGACCCAGGGCCAGATGTTCTTGAGTTACTTAAGGCGGGGCTCTATTAGGATCATATAGTGAAAATGCATCAATTACATAAAAAATTTCTTCTCTGATTTTAGATTTTAAGCAGACAAAATAAGTGCATGGTTACATGTATGATGAGCAAGGGTGAAACTTCCAAACTTCTGAAATTTATGGCTACTGGGACATGGGCTCTGGAATTGGGGTGGAGTTCTATTGATCATATAGTGAAAATTTATAATTTTGAAAATCTTCCCTCTGCTCCTGAATATTTTGCAGAGACACTATGCACATGGTTATTATGAACAAGAGTGCTTCTTCCAAAACTGTGATATTCATGGCCCCTGAAAAAAGGGTTCTGAAATCAGGCAGGCTGTATTTTGATCATGTATGGGAATTTTTATTCAACTTTAAGAAAACTTATTCCCTGATCCTGGAATATCCTGATCCTTCTCCTCTGTTTTTTGAGTTTCTGTCTATTTTGTGTCATTTTATAATAATTATCTACTGTTCTATGGGTCCTTTGTATGGTTGTATTATACCCAGATGACCGTAAGGCATTCAGACCTCTTGCTAATTTTTTAATTGCACAAAACCCCACAATTTTTATTTTATTTTTCTTTTATAGGAACATGAAGACTGTGTTGAATTACAGCAGGTGGCTTGTACATTACTCATGGCAATTGCTGCCCAAGGTAGGTAAATCTTAAGCCATACATTAAATTCAAATACCATTGTCCGTCTTTGTTGCCAAGATAAATTCACGAGATCAGAATGTACTCTTGCTTCATAAAACAGTAAAGTTGGGCTTATACATGTATTACATCAGATAATGCTGCCAGTATAGCTGGTTTGTATGGTGCTATAGAGAGGGTGTTGTCAGCTCTGGACAAACACATCACTAACCCAGAACTCTGTTCCACTGCTTGTCATGCCCTCTGGAGCCTCGCTGTTAATGGTAAATACTTTCTACAGTTCCAGTGCAATCAACAATTATATCATTTTAAATTGGATATAATGTTTTCTCAGTTATTTTTATAGAAGCCTATACATGTACTAGTAACTCATTGTGTACATGTGACTCATGGTAGATCATATACTGTAGATTCCTTATTTTTCGTGAGTACTTATTATCGCGAAATGGCTCTTTAACGTCAAATCGCGAGAACAATAATTCACGAGTGGACGGTTGATCAAGGGATTTTACATTGATTTCAGCACCATAAAAATAAGAGCGAGTAATTTTATTTCGCGAGTGGTGCTTCTCGCGTAATTACGCGATAATTAATTCCTCGCGTATATTTAGGAATCTACAGTAACTATTATTTATCATGCCTGTGTTAAGTTTCTTCACAAATATAATCTTGAAAATATTGAATAGGTTTTTAATATGATTTGATAGCTATAAATATGTTTAGAGTTTTTAAAAAAATTGTTTATTGCTTTTTATCATAGAAAACAATGTAAAGATAGCATCAGATGATGATGCTATGACCAAAGTGTGTAAAGCCCTCAGACTTCACATGAATTCAGCAGAGGTCGCAGAGGCAGCATCAGCAGCGCTCCTGTCACTCACTCTCAATGGTGGGTGTAGATGACTAAATCAACACCATTTTCAATTTTTATTTCTTATAAATCTATTGCCATCAAGTTAGATTTTAAAATTAGACATAAAATTATCTTCCAAAGAGCCTTGAAAATCATGTTTTGAAATAACTTCTTTTTTTTTTTTTATCTCAACAGACAAGAATTTTGATTTTATTGGAGACCTGGAATGTGTAGCTCTACTTATCAATGCCATAGATACACATTGTAAGAATGCCAAGGTGGTCAAAAATGCCTGTCTGGCTTTGGCCAGTCTTGTAGAACCTGATGGTTAGTACACTGTCTGTTATAATCTAGCAATACTGCTGTTATTAACAATTATTTTACAGTAAATGTATTTCTTTTAAAATTTTATTAATATTTGGAGTATGACGTGCTACAGACATATTTATGTAAACACAAATGAACATTAGAATAATTATGTATTCTTTGCATAACTGTTAAGTTGTTACTTTATCATACATATTTTATCTCCCTACAGAGGAGAGTGCTTATAGAGTTCTGACAGATGAGGCACCAGATGGGGGACACATTGCAGGGATTCCAAAGATAATTAAAGCTTATGAGCTTCACAAGGATAATGCTGAAGTTGTAGCAAGCATTGTTACTTTGGTAATGGAACTAGCTGAATATGGTAAGTCAGGTGTGGATTGTATAAAGGGGACATAACTTGTGAATGAAACAAAAAATTATACTGTAAATTGTAATACTATAATACTACTTGGGATATGTCAAACCAATGAAGAATTCATAATTTAAATTATTTGATATTATTCTTATAGATGAAATATGTATTGACTTACAAAGTTTCAAAGTTAAAAGTATAATGAGGGAAGTCCAACAAAAATTTGTTAAGAATGAGGTGAGATGTTGGCCATTGTGATGTACTAGGTGCTTGTAAGCCTATGTTGGTGTTGGAGGTGTAATGGCGATGCTTTGAAAATCTTAAGTTCAGTAATTTTTACAAGATTACAGCTTTGAGACTACAGTAAAACTCACTTAGCACAAACAGCTGATATGGCCCATTAAGGGAATATAGCGAAGTTTTTTGGGGGTCATGGGTTGAATTCTTAATGATTTTGTAAAATTTTTTGGTTATAATGAACTCTGATATAATGAATTTATGGATGTAGTGAGTTGATTTTATATCCCATAGAAGTTAAAAATAATGAAATTTACATAATTTGAAGCAAATTTTTTTAGGTCTTAAAATTTAAGACATTGAACTGACATTATTTTGTCTTCAGTATTTATATTTGAAATTTTATTTAACAGAAACTTTTGTTCTCCAAGATAGATTTTGTATTTTATACTCCTCTGAACATATTCAGCAGTCATAAAGAGGAAAGCCTGCATATTGCGAATTTGCAATGCATGTATATATTTTTATGAATTCATAATATGGATATAATGTCGAACTATGGATAAAGCAAAGTAAATTCACAGGACCCCAGGACTTTGTTACAACTGAGTTTTACTGTATATTAATTGATTTCAAACATCCATGGATTTACATGTATTATATGCACCAAATGTTTTGTCAAAATTACAGATGAACTTTAAAATTTGTTTAATATATATGTTGATAATGATTTTTGTGGATAAAGGTTAAGGAATTTAAATCTGTGTTGTCCGTGGTCAAGAGAAAAGTTTTGATTATTAAATCATTTTTGTGTGTATAACAGATTCTAACAGCCATTTTTTTGTTTTCTCTCTGACAGTTACAGATTATTTTTGATAAAAGAACCAGAAATACCAAACTTTTTAAATATACATGACTTACATACATTCCTATATAAGAAACCCCTTTTTTTGATAAAAATGCATATTATTATAGTATTATAAGTTTATAATTGTCATTCTTTAAAAATGGAAAGGGGGGAGGGAATGTATGACAACAGTTAAAAAGAAATATGTCCATAACCCCAGCAGATTTGTGGACTGAATACTGTAACAATAGAATATTGCGCTAAAAAAAACTTGGCACTGTAAAGTGAATAACAGCTTTGCTTTATTACACACAAGAATTAACAGAGCTTTGCATGTTGTACTTCAATATCTGCTGCCTATGTGAAGGGCTTATATGTTTCTATGTTGCTTAGATGATGTAAGGGCAGAAATGAGGCATTTGAATGTGGGACCAGATTTACTTTCTGAAATTTTTAAACGTTTCAGAGATAACAGGGTAATGTATTTTTTTTATGTGATCAATAATTAATTAATTTATGAAGTTGAGTTTTAATTTTTAGGATATTAATATTAATTCAATGTTTAAATTGAGAATATTTTTTTAATCAGTAATGTTAAAGTGTCTTTCTAGATACATGTAAATACTTGATTTTTAGTGATCATACAGTTAAATGGTTAATAAATAATTTATAATATACTGTAAATGGATATTTTCAATCATATTATACAATATAAATCAAAACTATATTTACAAAAGTTATAAAATGGAACAATAAAAAAGTTTTCAAAAAAGATTACATATCTATGAGTATTATCTTTTATCTCTTATTATATATTTCTGTTTTCAAACTGCAAAATATGTATTTAACTACATGGCCTTTATGAAACCTTTTGCCTTTTTGTTATTTTAGGACATTATGGGTCCTTGTGAGAAGGCCCTGTCAAAGCTGCAACAGTCGTCTTCATCACAGAAAATTTCAGCATAATACCACTGTATGTCATATCTGATTGTGACAGTTAATCATGAGCAGAGAGAATTACAATGATTCACAATAAAGAATGCCAGTATTGTCAGTGGGATGAGATTGGTTCATTTCCAGATTTTTATAAACAAAAAAAAAGACTTGATACAACTTAAAGACAAGTTGACTTGAGACAACTTAAAGATATTGTTACTTAGTTATGTTAAATGTTTTGTCTCATTTGTTATGTCTTTATTATTGTAATATTTATGCTGTACTGTGATATGCCTTAATGATTCTACAAATTTTACAAAAAAAAATGTATCTAATACAGATTGACTGTTAAATGTTTACAAAAATAAAATCTTAATTGTACAGTTTTTAGTCACTTTATCATTTAGGGGAATTTTACTAAAAAGTTTTGTTGTCACAAAATGTAACTGAACTACTAGCAGGTGCTGCACATACTGTAGATTCCTTATTTTACGCGAGTTAACTTAATATCGTGAAATGGACCTTAGACGTCAAATCGTGAGAATAATAATTCGTGAGTGTACAGATGTCCTAGATGTTTTTACATTGAGTTCAGTTCCATAAAAATAAAAGCGAGTAATTTTATTTTGCAAGAGGTGCTTCTCACAAAATTATGCGATAATAAATTCCTTGCATGTATTTATGAATCTATAGTATATCTAAAGCACTTGGTTATGCTTATTATGATGAAGAAAAATAGTTATTCAGTATTGCTTATATATTCTCTTATTAGATTAAGAAAGCTGGGTGGTCATTGCCATTTTAGTCTGTTTCAACCTCTTGGAAAAGAAGAGCTTTGTTTAAAAATTTTGAAATTGAATTAAAGATAATTATTAAAGATAAATATGTGTGTTATAGCTGGAATATAGTTTTTTTTCCTTACTAAATAGTATAGTTTATGGCTAGAAAAATCATTTCTCATATTTAGGTGGATCTGATGGATAATTTGTTCAACACCCACCTTTTAGCTCACCTGAGCCAAATTAAGCTAAAAAAATGAAGGAACACACTTTCTGTCAAGGGAAGATAAAGAATTAGTGAGAATTTAATGGCATATTTTAAAAATCTTCTTCAGAACCAATGGGTCAGAAAAGATGCAACTAATGTGACAAGAGGCCCATGGGCCACATCACTCACCTGAGCATTGTGGCTAGGAAAAAAGCAAAAATCGGTTCAGTATTGAAAAGTTTAAATGCATAAGTAGCCCCGACCTAAAGGGGGGGGGGGGGGGGGAGTATGATTTGAACAAAATTGAATCAACACTAACTAATTAAGGATACATATTTCTTTGACTAACTGTGGCTTCTTTTCCTACAAGTTTAAACTTTCATTGTGGCCCCAACCTACCCCCGGGGGTCATGATTTGAAGAAATTTGAATCTACACAACCCAAGGATGCTTCCTTATATATATGACTAATCATGGCTTTGCTGTTCTTGAGAAGAAGATTTTAAAAGATTTTTTCTATATACTCCTATGTAAAACTTTGATCGCCTATCGTGGCCCCACCCTACCTCCGGGGGGTCATGATTTGTTCAAACTTGAATCTACACTACCTGAGGATGCTTTCATATAAATATGACCAATCATAGCTTTGCTGTTCTTGAGAAGAAGATTTTTAAAGATTTTTCCTATATATTCCTATGTAAAACTTTGATCGTCCATTGTGGCCCCACCCTACCCCCGGGGTCATGATTTGAATAAACTTGAATCTACACCACCTGAGGATGCTTTTCCATATAAATATGCTCAATCATAGCTTTGCTGTTCTTGAGAAGAAGATTTTTCCTATATACTCCTATGTTTAACTTTGATCACCCATTGTGGCCCCACCCTACCTCCGGGGGGTCATGATTTGAACAAATTTGAATCTACACCACCTTAGAATGCTTTCACATAAATATGATCAATCATGGCTTTGTTGTTCTGAGAGAGATTTTTAAAGATTTTTTCTATATATTCCTATGTAAAACTTTGATCGTCCATTGTGGCCCCACCCTACCCCCGGGGGTCATGATTTGAACAAACTTGAATCTACACCACCTGAGGATGCTTCCATATAAATATGACCAATCATACCTTTGCTGTTCTTGAGAAGAAGTTTTTAAAGCTTTTTCCTATATATTCCTATGTAAAACTTTGATCGTCCATTGTGGCCCCACCCTATCCCCAGGGGTCATGATTTGAACAAACTTGAATCTACACTACCTGACGATGATTCCACATGAGTCTCTTTCCTGGCCCATTGGTTCTTGAGAAGAAGATTTTTAAAAGATGCCATTAATTTTTCACTATTTTGTAATTATCTCCCCTTGGAAGAGGGCATGGCCCTTCACTTGAACCATCTTGAATCCCCTTTACCCAAGGATACTCTGTGCCAAGTTTGGTTGAAATTGGCCCAGTGGTTCTGGAGAAGAAGATGAAATTGTGAAAAGTTAATGACAACGACAACTGAGACAACAGACAAATTTTGATCAGAAAAGCTCACTTGAGCCTTCGGCTCAGGTGAACTAAAAACTATATTACATAGTGTACATTCAAATTATTTCAAATCATGACACAAAGGAGTTGAGCATGGCCACAATAGATAAACAAAGTTTTAAATAAGATTATATAGGAAAAACTTTCTCAAGAACAGCAAAGCCATAATCCTCAGGTAGTGTAGATTAAAGTTTGTTCAATTCATGATCCATGGGGCTAGAACAGTGCCACAGTATGGAATGTTCAAAGTTTTCATAGGAACATACAGAAAAAAAATTCTTCAGAACAGCAAAACCATGATTAGGCCTATTCATACTTAAATGGAAACATTCCCAGGTAATGCAGAATCAAATTTGTTCAAATCATGACCAAGTTTGTTCAAATAAATACTCCCAAGGGTAGGGTTGGGCTACAGTAAGAGATCAAAGTTTTACGTGGGAAACTCTGATCTCTCATTGTGGCCCCACACTAAATTTGAACAAATTTGAATCTACAAGTTACCTGAGGATGCTTCTATATTAATATGACTAATCATGGCTTTAATTTTCTTATGCAGAAGATTTTTACAAGATGATACCTATAACTATAGTCCTGCTGCATGGACACGTTATTACTGGTGACGTAAATATAGTTAATAATGAGGACCTTAGATCACTAATTTTAAAAGGTCTTTAACATAGGGAACCCTGATCCTTCAACTGGCGTCGGAATTTCATAAATATTATGGATTCTGTAGAGGACTAAGCCAGGCGATGGGCCAGACATGAAAAAGAAGACCTTGACACTTTGTCAGAATGGATTAAATGTATCAGATGTATGTTAAAATCGCGCATAAAAAGATTGAGGGGCAACATGAGAACCAGCTATCCTTCTGTATTCAATAATCCAGAAGTGAAAAAAGAATTAGATAGATTACATGATCAGTACGTACTGGTCCCTGCTGACAAAGCAGGTAACAACACTGTCTTTGTTTGTAAGGCTCATTATATTAAATGTATTTTAGAGGAACTTGGATTTAATTCTACAAGTGGTAATTCAACTTATACCCATAGTTCCCTTTCTAAGGAAGAAATTCTTCAAAATCATATGTCAGTTTTGAATATTTTTAATATTCCAAACAACCAAAATGAATTTCAATTACCATATTTATATTGGATTCCGAAACTTCATAGAAATCCTTACAAACAAAGATACATAGTGGGTTCCAGTAAATGTTCAACCAAGCCTTTCTTTACTCCTCACTGGGGTATTGACAGTAGTGAAGGAGAAACTTCAAGAGTACTGTGCAACAATATATTCAAGAAGTGGTGTAAATTAGATGTGGATACTTAAAAATTCCAAGGAACTTTTGGAAAATTTGAAATCACAAGATTTTACTAAAATCAACAGCTTAAAAACGTACGACTTTTGAACTTTATACACAACCATTCCCCACGATAAATTAAAGTCCAGGCTTTTTGATATCATTGACAGCTGCTTTTTCAATAAAAATGGAACTCGTAAATTTAATTACCTTGTCATTGGTCATTTGCAAAATTATTTTGTTAAAAAACATTCTGATTGTACACACAAGTACTCTGAAGTTGACATTAAAAAGATGCTTGAGTTTCTAATTGACAATATCTATGTGGTTTTTGGAGACCAGAGGTCCGTTTTACAAAAGAACTTACGACTAAGACCAAAATTTAATTCTGCTAATAACTTTCTAATTTACATTAAATAGTTTTAATATTTTTTAAAAAGTATGTAGAAAGATACTTTTACGCTAGCAATTTTAAAGAGAATAATTAATTTTGTAAAATTTTACAATCAACTCAAGTTTTTGGTCTTAGTCATAAGTTCTTTTGTAAAACGGGCCCCAGGTCTTCCAACAATCTATTGGAATTCCCATGGGTACCAATTGCGCCCCGTTATTAGCAGACCTTTTTTGTATTCATATGAAGCAAAAGAGCAAGAGCCGCTTAGGGCCTTTTTTGGCCCTGAGAATTTCTGAAAAATCGAAACTGCTCATTTTTGGTTGAAAATGCAGTATCTATAACTTGGACCCTTGGTGACCGTGTATCTATTGAACATGACGTAATTTTCTCTCTAGTCAATGCATTATGACATCATAAAATGTGTCATTTTCCCCATTTCCTCTAAATTCCCTTAAAAATGGCCAAAAGATAGGTATTTTTTCAATATTTCATATAGAGCACAACCTCTGATCCAAAATATGCAATTGAATAATGAAAGATCTGTTTCTGAAGATCACAAAACATGTTTTAATTTTTGGATCGTGGGCTGTGCTCATATTTTATATTCTTTGCTGATGGTAGTCAAATACGCATGTTTTCTGCAAAATTCAGGAACATTGCATTTTCTCAAAGCCTTTTTTCCAATACCTGGATTCTCAAAAAAAGATTTGTTATAGGAAATGAAAGCACTAAGTCTCTACTTTATTCTGATATGTTAAATGGGACAGAGGGTGATAGTCAATTAATTGATATAAGGACAGGGCCATTTTATGCATAAAGTGAACCTAGCTCTTTGTCCAAAATCTTGTACGTGAAAAGAAGAAAACACTTGCTGTGGCCTTTAACTCGACATTTAGATATAT